TCTCCCTGTAAATATAAAACTCACAACTGAATGTTTGTGTTATCAATATTAGTGGAACAGGAATGAGAGTATTACAGTAATACAGTTCACCAGGTAAGCTGGTTCCATTAAAACAAGTCATATTAACACTGCTGAATACCTTCAAAGCTAAAATAAAGGTCTTCTGAATCATTTTCATCTGAAGAAACTCAAGCAGAGAAGCCGCTCACGATAAGTGTCCAGTGTGATTCTGTGACTGGGAAAGAAAAAACAAACATGTGTCATCTTCAGACACATCAACAGCAGATTAGTGATAAGTAGTTGAGATAGTGGAATTACTTTTGTACATGGCACTAAAGGGGTGGATATTTGAATGCATATTTATATGCACAAATACTGGTATTTGCATTTTAGAAACAATGCTGTAACTCAGGGAGGATCTAAATAAATCAAATTTTCCAAAACCAAGACCTAGAGAAAGCAGAAAACGGAAGTCAACAAATTTTGAATGCTTAATTAATTGAAAACAAATGAGATGAAGACTTGAAGACAGCACAAATATTCCCTCAGAAGAAAAAAGAAGATAAATACTGAGAGGTTTCCTTACTTTACGCAGGAAAAACATATGAAATAGTAATAGCTATTGACTGGATTTATTCAGTCATACAGTAAAAAATGGAAAAAATTTGTGATAATCTTTAAAGCAACCAAACAAAAGCCAAAAACCAACTAACCAAAAAACCCCAAGGAAAAACCCCAAACAACAACAACAACAACAACAACAAAAATAAAAAAATTAAAAAAAAAAAAAAAACCCAAACCCACTCCAAAAATAATTTCATCTATTACATTATCAAAAGAGCTATTCATCAACATATAGGAATTCCAAATTTAATAACAAAATCCGTATGTGAATAATTTGAAATACATTTTCAAGAAACTATACTGCATTTTCCCATACTTTTTACCATACCTGAATAGGCTCCCTGATAGATTTTCCTATTCAGAGGGTACTTAAGCAGTAAATCAGAAGCAAATATGCAGTTATTTACAGTTTTTGAAAATAAAATATCAAACAACCAATGCACCCTACTGGCTGCATTGTGAAAGGCACACAGCGTATTTCTATTATCAATACACATTAATGTGTATTGTTACTGATTCCTGTCAAGTAAACAAAGGGGAACAGCAAATATGTACAATATCACACAGGGAAAACACAGTCTCAATCCAATTATATTTTTCCATTTGCTATCATTTAAACCATAACAATAATAAATTAAACAATTACATTCTGTGGTCATTTTAATCCATTTTTCTTTTGTTAGACCCTTGCTAAATAAAAAGGATTTATGGTAGTTTTGAGGACCCATGGTTGGATTTAGTGATATTAAAGGTATATGATTATAGCTAAATGTTTGCTATAATGCTAAACATGCAATATTTCTACCAGAGAACAGACTATGCAGTGTCTGTAGATTTAGCATTATTTGCTTCTTGCATACTTTTATAAAGATCTTGAAAAATTCCTCTTACTGCATCTTACAGTCATGTCCTAATAACTTCCTTTGGTGTTTACTGGAGTTGCAGAGCTACCTTGACATTACTATTTCCTACAATTGTACTACCGTTGTACCCCCAATTACCTAGCAGGGAAGCAGAGACAGACAAAGGCTGTACATGTATTTCTGTGGGAATCTCTTAATGAGCAAAAATTTATCTTGTCATTCAAGGAATTAAAATATACATTTAGACACTTTGACAATAGTTATTGAAATGTAAATCTAGACTGGTGGCACCAAATCCTAGAATGACTTACAAAAACAGTGGTGGCACATGACATGGGATAGCTTCCAGATGGAAAGAATACATTTGGGATTTTAATAAAAAATTACTAACAAGTTATATCAGCCCCTCCACATTTTCCTTACAACTCCTTTCTAAAAATTTCTTAAGATCTTCCTAATCTTTCTATGTGTATACTTAACTTCCAAGCTCTCATCAGGCCACACAAGAAATAACATGACCAAGAGGAATGTGGTACAGATCCATGCAGATGCTGTTGAAATGCCATGGTGTGATTAACACTGACCCTCTTGCTCATTGAGAATGCACTATTAGGATATGCAAAGCAACTTACATGGGAATAGAGAAAGGCTGTATTCTTATTAGCATTCATGGGAGCTATGCAGCCCCAGTCTTGTTCATCAAGTTTGGAATATACTCTTTTGTTATTGATGGGAAAATGTCACCAGTTACAAATGGTTACACACAGGGGTGTAGCAGGGTCAAAGCAAACTCCAATACTTTCTTTCCCGTTCTAAGGCAGAGTGCTGCTTCAGCAGTTCTTTTTTGACCTGGTGGTATACCTCTGTAGATAAAAGAAATGGTGAAATTCCCCGTTCCTGATCGTTGGTACAGCCTCACAAGCCAAAGATTAAAAAAAACCTCCAAAAGGATATTACATTAGTGGTGTGTGATGGGTCAATCATTAGACACCACTGCAGGCATCCTTGCATATGAAGTCTGACTTCAAACTCCTCTACAGATCCACCCACAGCTCTGATGAGTCTCATAAAACAGTCTTTCAAAAGCATGAATAGGATCTGAATCACCAGTTTCCCAGCTACAGATAAGTGCAGTTACTTCACCTCTATTACTAAAGCTTCCTTTAGAAAACAAAACAGAACTGCTTGGTGCTGCAAATATTCCTTACAAGCTATGGTACTTCTTAATAGATGAAATCCTAAATCTCTAAGTTAAAATTAATTTTCCTCAATATCCCACAAGAAAACTTTGGGCTTATGGGAAATTAATTCAATTTTGTTGTCTTCAACGCTGCTCTTTCCAGAAATACAGTGGTGGAAGGCTCATTCTACCTGCATTTAGCATCCCCAAAAAGACATAAAATCATTCTGGGACTCCTACAAATATGTTCACACATTTGTCATGTAATCTGACAATACAAGCTTTGTTGGATACCAAGCTTCTATCTAAGCCTTCAGTGCAGCTGTGTTAATCAGCACAAGCTGTGCTTCTGACCCATGATAAAAATAGAAAGCTTATTTCTGAGCAGGCTTTGATTGGTAAGATGCTATGAAAGAAGAAATTGCGCCAGTCTAGGAGAAACCACACTGTTCACAGTTAATTAAACCTGAAACACTCAGCAAAGACAATTTTTTGTGGGGCCCAAGTGTCAAGAAAATACCCTTAACTAGGCTACTAAATGGTTTAGAAACTGTCTGGACTTACAAGAAACTTTGGTATGAGGAAATTATAACTTCACTAGGTATCCACTGGGCTCTTTTCACAAGTGCAGAATAAGAAAGCCAGAAAATTAGCTTAAATGAACTTGTAGAACTTCCTATAGGAACAATATCACATTGAAATGCTAGTACTAGTCCATGCTTCTTCACAAACAGCAGTGATCAGACCTGCATGAAATTGCCAGCTTGTTATTTTGTGCTGACTTCTGTAACTGAGAATATTTCTAATCTTTCAGGCAAACCTCTACGTTCTTGAGAGAAATGTACTGCTCGTGTTGATGCTATTTGGCTAGGGAGTACCTAGACAGTCTTGGGAATACCTTTATTTTAACTGATCCATCCATTATATACAACAGAATACTATTTCAAGGTAGATACAATGTGTAAAATATACACACAAAAAATGGGCTGACATACAAGAACACAATGTACCTTCATAGCTTGTTTTACAATATCTGGAAATGTGGCTTCAATTAAGCTTCTATGGGTGTGAATGTGACACTTCATAGAGCTACACAATTGTAAGCTCTTATTTTTACGTCTTCAGACTCAAGTAATCTGGTTTTCTAAAGTAAAGACATTTAAAAAAATAATTTTTTAATATCAAACATGTTTCTAACCACTTTGGTTGTTTAGCAAGGCTCAAAAACAGAACAAAAAAAAACCCCAAACCCTAATTTAAAAGTATCTTAAGATCAAATTTAATCTATTTTCAAGAACCAGACCTGCAAATTCATTTGCCTTCAACAATTTTTAACAACATATTTAGCCTTAGAGCCATCTGTTTTTTTAATACTTTACTCCTGCTAAGGCTGTGTCAGCAAAAAGACACACTAAGTTAAATCTATCTAGGACATCCATCTATTGCCTCAGCACCCCAAAAGCTGCTGACAGACCCCTACAGCAGAAATTATTCTGCTAGGAAAAGAAAGCTGAAATATCGACAGGGTTAAATTTGTGGTACCTCTCTTGTGAGAAAGATCTATCAGTGAGGGCTAGATTGCTGTACCTTTGCAGTACTAGTGCCGAGGGGACAGATGTGAAGGGATTATAGAGAAACTGCCTGGCAGTTTCTGAAAGTGCAGCAAGGCTGTAAGAGCCAGGCAGGACTAAGAGATAGAGAACGTGGAAAGGAACTGCGAACGCTAGGGAAAAACAGTCTCAGAAGAACCCTTTTAATGACTCAAATACATGGCAACTTCGTGCATCTGAGCAGACTACGTTTCTCCAGAAAGAGGATCTGCAAGAGCACGCCGGGGGCTCCAGGAAGACGAGGGTGAAGCGCCTCCTCGCCCGGCGGCGCCGGCCCCGCGCTCCGGCCTCCAACGCCGAGCGGCTCAGTCGGAGCGCTCTCTGGGCCGCAGCGGAGCAGGGCCGACCGGAGCGAGACGGCGCCCGCGCCAGGCGGGGCTAGAACGCGCTCTCCCGCCGGGCCGGCTCCGGCTAGGTTCGGCTAAGCCCCGGGGCCGCCTCCCGCCACCCCCGCCCCCGAGGCTGCGTGCGGCCGGCGCCTGGGCGGGGCGCGCTGCGGACGTGGCAGCGCGGCCGCCATCGCGGTGGGTACCATGTGGAGTGGGGGCAAGTAAAGCTGCGGTCCGGGGCGGAACGGGCCGGCTGGGCTGGGCTGGGCTGGGCAGGGCACGGCACGGCACGGCACGGCACGGCACGGCACGGCACGGCACGGCACGGCACGACTCTCACCTCCCCTCCCCACGGCGGCGTGGCCGGCGGCTGCTGAGCCTGGAGGGAGCTGGGCGGGGGCGAGGAGGAGGGGCCGGCGTGGGGCTCCCCGCGGAGGGCGCCACGCCTGCGGTCCGTTCCACAGGGCCACCCGCGGAGCATGGCCGGCAGAGGCGCAGGCAGCGGCCCGCAGCCGTCCGCCGTGGCGCAGCCGCTCACCGGCGGTCACTTGTACCCTTTCGTGAGCACGGAGAGCGAGGGGCCCGAGGAGGAGGGTGAGCTGTCGGAACTGCGGCCGCGGGGCAGGGAGAAGGTCCGGCGGAGCGCGTCGAGGGACAGGCTAGATGATATAGTCCTGCTGACGAAGGACATCCGGGACGGGGACACGCTGAACGCGATCGCGCTGCAGTTCTGCTGCTCCGTAAGTGCCCGGGCGCGGGGCCCGCGAGGCCAGTCCCGGGCCGGCTGCGCCCGGAGGCAGCGTGTAGCAAACGCCGTGTGTCTCAGAAGTGGAAAATTACGTCAGGATTGTTCGTGTTACAGCGCAGGGTTCCGGTTCCGTGGGCTTTCCCCCTTAAAAGTAATATAAGTGTGAGAAACAAGTTCATAGTTTTGGTTGTGACACTTCTCAAGAGTGTTACATTCACAGCTGTTCTCCAGTCACAAGTCGGCACATCTAGTGCCATCCTCGCTGTTGGGCTGGGGGACAAGGGTGAACTATCTTAAGGATCCACACTATCTTTGTGTGGAGCCCTAATTCCATCACAATAGGGGGAAAAAATCATCCATATTTTTCTTTTGAATTCCGCTAAATTGTCCTAGTATTTTAAGCATGAGCTTGCTGTACTTTTGGGAACTTTCCACCCCTGTGCACCCCTCTTTGTGTTCACTACTTCAAGCTCAGTTCTTACATTATTCTGGTAAATGTTCTGCCTACCCACTAATTTTGGCTGCCAGTACTATTAAGGCAATGGCTTTGGTCTTGGTTGATGTTTCCAGTTTAAACAGGAAATCAGCTGTGTGTGTTGGTGGGACTGACCGCTAAGTGCACAGGTGCCATGAGGTCAAGTTGAAAATCTGTATATACAGAATATGCTGTCATCTAATTCTTCAGGCAGAAACAGAATTGTGGGCCTCCTGTTGTGACTTGAGGTATTAAAGTCTTGACATAACTAATCATGGCAGACCTTAGCCTCAATAACCAAGTCTTGGCTTCAGAACCTACTGCAGTTGGGTATTTTGAGCAGCTTTATGAGGTCAGACCTCACTAAGAAAGGAAGAATAACTAAATTGTGCTCTTTCTTGCAAATCCAAGAGAATGTGAAGAGCAATCCCAGGACTTGAGGCAGAAAGTATAAGTTGCATTGTGGTGGAATCATAAGTTGCTGCATTTGGCAGTCTTTTTATTCTTGCCCAATTTATTGAACATCATACACCTAACAAATACACTGCCATAGTAGCTGAAGGACTTCTACACATTAAAAAGGTTTGCGTGAACTTGGATACAGTGCATCTTCAAGTGAGCGTAATTCCTGTGTGCTTTGCAGGTGTTGCAGAAGAGCACTTATTTGGAAGTACTTCATTATGGTGAAGTTTGTGGCTGTGCCTGCTACAGTGAGGGAGTTACCATCTGAAAGTGAAGCCAGTGATTATCCCAGTGCACTTAAATCCCTGCAGAATGTTTCACATTAGACTTAAAATCTGAACTTACTGCGGGCAAAGTGAGATTAATTTTGAACAAGAGTAGGAAAAGGGAAGAGCTGACTTAGGTAAGGTAGATGACAGTAGTTTAAAAGTTATACTTGTTTTCTGCCTTAGCCCCCAGAAGCAGCAAAAAATCTTACTGGTGGCTAGGTGAATTGCAAACTCATACTTTGTAGTAACTCCTAACTCAGAACTTTTTCACTGAATTAGAAATTACCAGTAATTTACATAATTTGAAAACTTAAAGTGAGGTGAATTCTCATTAATTTCACAGAGATAGTTGCCAGTTGAGAGCTGAACGTACATATAACTTAATGTATCTGTGTGAAGTGACTTTCAGTCTTCTTATCTGAAGTGGGAGGGGTTTTGCATCATAATTAATTTCCTTCTTGCTGTAAAGTTGCTAAGATTTGGTCTTTGACCTCTTCTGACTTCATACTGTATGAATGGGTATCAATTAAAAAAACCCACAAATTTAATGGTAATAAAAACCAAAGGCCTTGCCCTAGACTTCAGCTTGAAATCTGAACTTAATTTGAGCAAAATTATATTTTGAACAAGAATATGGAAGAGGAGAGCTGACTTGGGTAGGACAAAAACAAAGGTCTTATCTTTGTTTCCTTACAAAAGACTTGTATTTCTTAAAGGTGTAGTACTGTTAAAGGAGTTTTGGTTCAATGGAATACAATGTTTTAGCTGTTGTTTTCATTTTTAGGTTGCAGATATCAAGAGAGTTAACAATCTTATCAACGATCAAGATTTTTTTGCCCTGAGGTCTATCAGAATTCCAGTGAAAAAGTTCAGTGTATTGACTGAAACCCATATATCTTCAAAAGGAAGACCAGCTCTTCGGCCTGCTCTGTGTTCCCCAGAAGTACAGGAAACATCTCTTTGTGATAAATTCTCTGCTAATGAGACTGCTGGCAACTTCTTAAAAGAAGTCGATCGAGATATAGAAGAAATAGTGAAGTGTAATGATACAAAGAGAGAGAATCTGAATGAAGTTGTTTCTGCTTTAGCAGCCCAACAGATCTGTTTTGAAACTGATGGTAAAACTAAAAAATGCAAGGATCCTTACTATGGAGCAGACTGGGGTATAGGATGGTGGACAGCAGTAGTGATAATGTTGATTATTGGCATAGTAACTCCAGTTTTTTATCTCCTGTATTATGAAGTTCTAGTGAAAGCAGATGTCAGTCACCATTTTCCAATGGAATCTTCTCATTTGTTTGTCACAGCAGTATCACATCAGAAAGAAACAGAAAATGGAATAAATCCAACAAATATTATGAAAGTTGATAATCAAGGAGACCTTCAGCATTAATAGTGGAAGACCCTAGACAACTGTTGTTTGTAGATAACATAGGTAAAGGGGAATCCACAGAATGCAAAATGCACTTGGAATGCAGAGAAATGTACTGATGTGTGACTTGCCTATATGGGCAGTGTTCCACAACAAGGATATTTCTGGGGATCACATAATCTGAATATGCCTGAGATAGACAATTTACAAGACTGGGTTGTATATTAAGGTATGAAGTAATCTCTAAAGCTTTGCACCTTTTTCTGTTTTGATAGGCATGTTTCTTAATTAATGATGAGGTGAAAAAATATAGTTCAAACTAACACACAAGGAGTCTGTGTTTTACAGCCCAGAAGTGGGCATATGGGGATAGCTAACGTTTAAACATCTGAAAGTATTTACAGAATTCATAGTACGCTTGACATTTTAATATCAGGTTTACAGTTCTAAGTTTAAGTGGTGTTCTCATAATTTAATCTTTCCTATAGAGTAACATTTCTTTTAAAACTCAATAATTCCATAATTATTAGCCAACATGAAGTTCTTTTTTACAGAGGCAGTAGCAAACACTTAAAACTGGAATCTTAAAATCTTGTGCCTATAGTCAACCCATTCTTTAGTACTTTTCAGTATAGGCACTAGGGTAATTTGTTTTCTCTGTGGTTCTGTGCTTCAACACAGTCCACTTAGGAGTCCTCTTGAAATTTTACATTGTTCCGTGGTATTCTGCTGAAAACTGACTGGACTGCATTCTCATCTGGTCACTTGTGTGTAGAATGAAAGAAGTGCTAGGTGTGGCACATTGCTTTAACTGCCCCAATAGTCCTTATTTTCTGCTAATAGATTTATCTTTTTCCCCTTCCAGTTAATCTCAGTTCAGGACCAACTGATTCTTCAGATAGCAGTCATGTGGGTACTGAGCATACTTACACTGCTCTTGTGCCCATGAACCTCAAGCTCCTAACTTTTCCCTGAAATGTCCTAGAAGACTTCAAATGATATTTAATGCCTGCTAGCAAATTTGAGCAGAATAGACAACTTGTACTACAGATTTGTACTTTACATCTTCGTGTATTTATTAACCAATCCCCTCTTGAATGTTTCTCTTGGAGTTTCATGATCAACCTTGGTTTTTCCCCTCTTTTTCTTCCCCATCTAAAAATGCTTCAAGATAAAAAACAAACAAAAAAACCCATAAAAAACATAAATAAAGCCCCACACCTCTGGACTCTTCATACAGAAAGGAGGTACTTGTGTACTCAGAGTACTTTTAAATAAAAACTGAGATGGTGCCTATAATTATTTTGGTTATATTTGCCTTGTGGAGTAAGAATTCCATTGCCCTGTTCAAAACAGTATTTATTACCAAAACCCAGGATAACAAACTTGATCAGGACTTAAAAATAAGTGGAAAAACAGACAGCATCCTTTAAACTAGTATTGTAATTTTTTTAATGAATGTCTTGACTAAGTATATGCAGTACAAAAAGGTAAAGTGAATATGTTCTAACTGTTGAGGTATTCCAAAATGCTTTGTGAGATTCTGAGAGTGAAAACTTAGGCCCCATTTATTCTTGGAGCACCTGTTTCCTCAAGAAGTGGAGCAGAGAGTCTTCACTGGCATGCCAAGTGTATGAACAAGAATTGCTTAACTTGTATTATTTTGAAATTGAGGCAGGCCAAAGCTTGAAGGAAAATGGTGTAAAGTTAGGTGCCTGAACTATGTTACCGTTGAACCTTTTGATTAAAGGAGCATCTGTGGAGATCATGAGCCTACTCATAGTCTCCACACTAGAAAAGGGATTACAAACAGCATGAACTTGATGGTTTGCATAACACTTGTTTTCAAAGATCCTTTCAAATAGTAGTTATTTTCTTTAAGCAAATATGCCTGTAAGACAAACACTGAGGTAGCAGTTCTTCATGCAAAAATGCTTCACAAAATAATTTATGGTGGCTAAAGCGATACAGCTCTCATGGTTAAAACTTTAAAAGGTGACTCACTCTGACAAGAAAGCTTTGGCACATAAAAAACAAATGCTTTCTATATGGGATGAAATTTGGTATATAATGCATAATTTTTTTGCTGCATAATTTTATTGTTTTCCTTCTCCCATCCTGTTGCTGAAACTCACCAGTTCTAATACTTTATCATTCCAATTCTTATGGATTCATTAAAGAACATTAAATTAGCTATTGTGATGATGCAGCATAAGCCTAATATATAACACATACCTGGACTGATGGTTACTAAATTGCTGTTGGTACAGAAATTAACTTAACTGTGGTTGTGGTTCGACTAGGTCAGGAAGGATTCTGACCTGTTGATGTATGAATACAGAAGTCTCTGGTGGTACAGCTGAAGAGTCCTCTAGTGTGTCCCAGACTTCGGGCTTTTACAGTGTCAAAGACCTGTGGCTTACTGGCACTGAGTTAAGGGTGATGTGCCTTCATTTACCTTAAAATAAGCAATCTTCACAGAAACACAAAGGAATAGCTATTTTATGGGACCATATTCCATACCAAGAGCCTGGTATGTTTTTACATATGTATTATGTAACATATTTTATACAGTACATTTTTAATTAGAGTTAACTTTATCAGAAGATACAGTAGAACTCTTTTCAAGACTGTAGGACTCCTGATCCTGGTAATCTACAACCATCAGCTGGCTTGCCTTTCTGCAGAATGTGGGGATCTTTACAGTTTTTTTCCAAAGTACAATACAGCCAGTAATTCATCATCACAGCCTAGAATAAACCAGATAACTGCTTTGTGAGGAACTTAAATCTTATTCGAGATAAAATCCGTGAAGGTAGTCTTCTAGAAATTGACTTCTTAAACAAACAAACAAAACCAAAGACAAATAAACAAAAGAAACCCCAAAAGCAAACAAAAAAGGGCCAAAACCTCCACAAACATGGAATAATTGAGTTGTAAATCACCTTTTGGAATAATTGCAACACATTCAGTTTTAAACTTAAGTGCATACTGCACTGCTGGATCATAAAAAAATCTAAATGTTTCAAGTCTGGTGTACTACTTCGGAATAAGTTCTCACAAATAGTCTTTGTAACTTGTATAAGGGCTGAAAATACAACTATGTGAAATACTTCTGAGTGAGGATGCAAGTCTTATTTTAAATACTTCTGCTCCTCTGCTTTTAGAAAAACGTAAGTAATATATGTAAAATAAAGATTTTATTTTAGACTGCAGTGAAAATGGTGCATCTAATATATTTTTAATTCTATGTATTTTGCATGTTTTATTACAGCAGTCTACTACTTGTGTTTGTTTAGGCCAATTTTTATGTATGGTCTACAATAAAAATCCTTAGCCAGCAAGTACTTTGTTGGCAGTATTCATATCTAGCATACCATAATTGCAGCCTTTATTCTGTTCATGCCTTGTAAACTTTGAACTTCTCTGCATAAATTTTGGAGAACACTTTAGTTCTTAGAAATAGGTATGAACAAGTAAGGGAGGGATCAGTGAAGTTCTTAGACAGTGAGATGACACTGAAAGCAATATTCTTCTGCGCTATAAATTAGGATTTGAATATATGCATGTCCAAATTTGAAGTTTGCTGCAGTCTAAAGAACAGACATAAGTTTTACTGGCATTATGGTCTTGCAATAAATTCTAAGCAATCAGAAAATCAGCTGCTAAGCAGAGGTGTGAGTATTACAGCTCTGGAAGAGCACAGTCTAACTGCTTTTCAGTTAGACTGGTCTCTGGCACTGATCTGTGTCTTTGCAGAACTTGTTCCTAATTGATGGCTTTATTTACCATAGCTAAACTAATCCTGGAGGGTCCAGCCTAAAACTTTGCAATTCCCTCTGAATGACAGAGGTCACTACAGTTTACCTCTTAAAGGACTCAAAAAAACCAGATTTTCACCAGAATAATGTTTCTCAACAGTGCAGTAGGAAGGCAGTTGCCCATTAGATGAATGGAGAAAGTAATCAGTACTCAAGAATTACTGTCTGCTACAGAATAAGATACTGTACTTGTTCAGGCAAGCCACAACTTGTCAACAAATTTTGTTACCCATGCAGTAACTCTTTTCTAGCATTAATTTTATGGTTCCATCTATTTGCATTTTTTTTTGTAGGGGGTAAGGAGTCTCACCATTCACCTTGCACAGGGAGAACGGCTAGCAGAAGCAGTTATAGTCACAGCAAGCAAATTTAATTTTTAGCATCCTTGCCTCATTCACATCTTCTGTGTTTTGTATATCAGAAGTTCACAGAATAATGCAGAATTGTTTCCCAGTCATCAGTAAGGTGAAACACTTTTTTTAAAAGAAAATAACACTTCGAAACCAAGCAACATAAAAAGCCCAAAACCCCTGATCAACAGTAATGTACTAACAATAAAAAAATATTATTTTTTACTATCAAAATACAGTAAGATATAGAGAATGTGCTGTCACAGCATTCTTCAAGCATCTAATCTGAGTAATAAGTTTTCAATACAACAGCTGTTGGTTTTCAAATAAAAAGGATGCTTCCAAACATTAAGCTTTGGCTTTTTCTTGGCATTCTCTTATTTTTCTAATTAGGACATCATGCATTGGTCCTTCCAAGTCAGTTTATGTTGAAATGCACAGCTGTCAGTTACCTGAACTCAGAAGTTACTTAAAGTTCTTCGAAGGAGTCAGCTACCAACAAGCAGCTTATGTCCATAAAAGCTCTGTGTCTTTTTTTTATAGTGGTCATCAAGAATTTCATTATTTGTTTTAACATTTTACTGTTGAGGCATAGAATTGACTAGTGCAAATGCTTAGACAGTTTCAAGTAAAATGCATACTTTTTTTTTCTGTGCAGAGGAAACACAATGGCATACTCTATTCTATCCATAGGCATTCCAGAGGACCTTAAAAAGGGCATGTCTGCAAAGCACTTAGCAAAAGAACAAAACAAAGGATTCCCTAGCCTCTTTTACAGAATAGTACAATTAAACTCCAGTGTATTTTTGGAGAGTCTGCTTAAAACCAACAGAGCTAAAACATTAAGTCTATTTATACTCAGCCTATCTCCATAATTCTGCTTCATGTAGTATAAGGCTTGAGCAGTTTAATACTTAGAAACAACAGCTGCTATGTTGCTTCAACCATATTGTCATCACTGACGACACCAAAACCATCTCCATCTTCAAAATTGGAAGAAACGTAGTCATTTTCCTAAAGCAATGGGGAAAAAATCACTATATGTATAGAGAAGACAATTTATAGAAGAAAAGTTATTTAAACTGCACTTGAGCATCCACACTTTAAAACAGTAATGGATTATTGGGAAAGAAAAAGGAAAATACTGTAATGAAGTCCTGATATATATGAAACAACAGGCATCACTGTTTTCGTGATAAAAAGGAGTAATTGTGTGTATTGATTGTGTCAACACATTCTTATATACAAGATCTTTATATCAGAGCTCTTTGTGAGTAATAGGTCTAGAACAGTCACTTAAATTTATAATACAATGTAGTGCAACAAAGATAATTAATGTAATAATTTCTCCCAAAACAACTCTGCCTTATTGGGAGCTTGGGACATTTCTTTGCCAGCCAACACATAATCAATGACTGAGATCTGACTCTGTATAAATAGGAAAACTAACATTATACCTCTTCATGCTCTTCTTCATCATATTTGTCTGGTTCTTCTGCTTCTTCATCATCTTCACCTTCTTTGTCTTTTGTCTTTCTCATCTTCAGGTTTTTCTTTTTCCTTATCCTTCTTTTCTAGCACCTGTCACAAGGCAATCTCTTAACGAGGTAATCCCATGTTACAGCAACAGCATATCCTCCACACTACCAAAGAGTTGAGATGCACTTAACAGCAAGACAGTTAGCATAACAATGCTGTGCAAATGTTGTGTGTCAATATTTAAAACAATATGATGTGAAGCACAAGAACTTAATAAGGATTTACTTGGTCAAGCATCAGCCATAAAAAACCATGTCCTGCGTAATAAACTGAGATGACAATTTCCCTTTATCACCCACTGTTAGAACAGTTGACAGAAGACCATGTCATACTTGATAAAGCAATACCTTGTACTGTATGTAATAATATAACTACTTTAAACAACTGGTGAATCACCAGGAGAAAAAATAAAGCTGTTTCACCTTAAAGGTTCCCACTGACACATGGTAACTAATTGCCAACAAAACAGAGTCCTAAGTTTCTCTATGTTTCTTCTCAACTTAGTAAATTGTTTTAAGTTCCAGCATCAGTAGATGGGTGAAACAGCAACAGATTTAAAAACACTGGCACTAGTTCCTCCTTCTGTAAGCTCCAACAGCAGCTCTACTATTTACATTAGACTGTGTTGCTACCCAGCGAAGAGCAGTTGGTTGTTGTGTTCAGGTACAAACAAAAGCAAAGAAAGTCGCTTCTCCACAGCCAGACTCAGACCACCAGTACCACCACCCTTGTGCCACCATGCTGCAGAACAGTTGTCTGTCAAAGTAGCAAGACTGGACCAGAAAAAGTCTGTGCTTGTTATTCCATTTGTACTAATAAACATATTAGGTTTCATTTTCCTTCAATGTCTATTGTAAAATTTAGAAAGAATATGCACATCTTACTTCATTTTTTTTCAATGACATCCAGATTACTTTTAGGCTCAGAGTTTTTTGCCTTTTTTGTTTTTGCACCTGGTGAAATAAAATACATTACTGGTTTTTTTTGTTAATGTGAAAAAGACAAATTCTCTTGTTTTACTTGTTCTTAAGAGTAAATACATCCTGACTATGCCACAGAAATCCCATACTGTGTGTATTAAAATTACCTGAGACTTTGAGCTACATCCTTCACAGAGATGCAAATGTCTGATTTACATAAGAGATGCCTGGAAGGCCAGGCTGAAATTCAGTTTGAACAAGTAGTTGACCAAAGGCTGGGCTAAAATACAACATTCAGCTTCACAAAATATTAGTCACCTATATACCTAAAAAATGCTAAGAAACTAGAACAGAATCTCACTTGTTATGTTTAATCATCTTGAAAAAAATAAAAACTCATTTTTACTGACTTATACAAAACATTAATGATGGATACTTCAGACAAGTAGATGTTAGAAAAAGGCAGAAGTTCATTAGCTCTAACAGAAGGCATGATTAATACAGCTACATGGCTTTTTGACTACAGTTGGCTCTCATATAATGAATCTATGTTGTGTATTTCTGCATAGTCCCCTGATTCATGAGCATAATTTTTATCAAGTTACTCCCTGATTAACTGTATGGTGGAGCAAAGATCAAAAATAGCAAACTATATACCCAGGTAAGAGTTATGTGAATGGCAGCACCCTAAACCAAAGTTCCTCAAATGCTCAAGGACAGAGAACACTGGGAACTGCTGAGAAAACACTTACATTTTATCAAAAGTAGTCATATTAGTCATAAATAACATTGAGTTTATTTCAGTGTTTTGGCCTAGGAAAGGATTATATGACTAAAGCACTGCACAGAGCTCAGGGGAGTCAATCTGCTCTGCAAAAACATGAACAGCATCAAAGCAAACACATCCAGTATGAAGTAGGCTTTTAGGAAAACAAGCAGAAAGTGCAATTCAGAATTATCATCCCTGCACAACCTCCTGCAGGCTTTTACAGATAATACATGAAGAACAAACAGACATGAGATTTGTGTCTAAGAGCTGGGCATCTTTGGTGCTTATAAATTAGAAACATGGTGTGTAATTTGCAGGCAACCCCAGGGAAGAAATGAGAATCTTGATTCCATGTTTCAGAAGACTGATTTATTATTTTATGGTATATATTATATTAAAAGAAAATGATATATTAAAACTATACTAAAGAAAGAGAGAGAAGACATCAGATGACTAGCAAATAAAAGAATGAATAATAAAATCTTGTGACTGCTCACAACCTCAACACAGCTGGCTGTCATTGGTCATCAAGTAAAAACAACCACATGAGACCAATCAAAGATGCACCTGTTGGTAAACCATCTCCAGACCACATTCCACATCCATAAGGTAATTATTGTTTACATTTCGTTTCTGAGGCCTCTCAGCTTCTCAGGAAAAAAATCCTAGCGAAAGGATTTTCATAAAATATGTCAGTGACAACACTGACCCATTGTTAGAACTATGGGAGCAAAATAGCTCCCTATGTTATGTACCTTAGAGGTGCAATAAAATACAGTCTAATACCTGGTCTTCCAGTACTTGGGCTAAAATGCATACATTTGAGTGCTATATACCTATGCATATGGCTGGCTTACAATGTCAACTGAACCCAGATGACATTTTTATTTATCTTATTTATGTATTTTTTCTTTTCAGCAGGCACTGCTGGTATCTAGGATTTTGCATTTCACAGCCCAGGGTCAGTGTGGAATTCTACCCAAAGTTTTGTCACTGAGAAGGCAGTTAAAACATCGAGGGAAACCAGAAAGAGGGAGGGCAGGTGTGTAAAAGTAAAGCTGCCTCTGTGCATGGAACTGTACTGATCGCCAAACCACTCCTGCAGGCTAAAAAGGGAGAATGGTAGGAACTTGGTTTGAATTTCTGTACAAACTCTGTTGATTTGTTCACCTTTTTTCCACCATGGTTAAAGTGTCACCTAAGCTATGCGTCAAAAGAGACAAGTACCAGGAGCTCTAATGGGTCATTAGTCAGCTATGTACAAACCTTCTGACTAATATATAACTCTGTATCATCAGGATTCCACAAAAAAAAAAA